GGGCGAGGGAGGCCCCGCAGCCATGCCTGTGCACACAGATCTTGGCAGCATGCATCAGCCCCTCTGCCTCCAAAGACATCAGTGCCGGCATCACCACTACATAGACAAAATCTCGGCAGAAGCCCGGGTCAGATCCCACAGCCCCCAGCTCAGAAGGGGGCTGGATGCTGCCTGGGGAAGATGAGCAGACAGGCTGTAACAGGGAAAATGCCTGACTGGCAGCATCTGGAAGAGATCTTGGGTTTGAAACCCCTTTTCAGGGGCCCTCCCAGGAGTGAGACCGAACACATGGGTGACTGCACCAAGCCCAGGCACGTAGGGCCCAAGAGCTGGCCAGTAACATCCAGCGAGAGCTGGAGCACCACTGCCCGCACCTGCGTTCCCAGGACCGTTCTGGACCGTAACCTCTGCTCCCAGCCCGGCCTAGTCTGGCCACCTCCACCCCACCAGCCCAGCCCACGCACGCCCAGCTAGGTACCTTGTAGAAGGCGAGGGGGCCGAGCTTGGCAGTTTCCATGGCACAGTGGGTAACACCCTGGAGCAAGAGGGAGAGAGATGAGGCGGCACTGGGAGGCAGAGGCCGGCGCAAAGGGCATGGGACCGGCAGCAGCAAGGTGGGCAGGAGGGGCTCCTCACCCGGTACTCGCCCTGGGAGTTCATGAGGCGGGTCTTGAGCACGTCCAGGGGCTGGCACAGGAATGTGGCACATCCTCCCTGGGGAGAGCCAGCGGGGGTCAGCAGCGCCGGCTCACGGAGGAGACCCAGGTGCCAGCGACCGCCACAGGCACTGGAGAGACCCAGAGCCCTGCCTGGGCCCAAGGCCAGGCCGGGAGCCCCACAGGAGCCTCTGTGCCCAGCCCTGCTTCGTCAGAGTGCCGAGAGGCAGCCCTGGCAGCCCCAGGCTGGGGTCCTGAGCCCGGCTGCAGGCAAACCAGATCCCAGTGCACCCTCCCCGCACCCAGCCCTGCTCACAGCGATGAAGCTGGCCAGGAAGTGAGTGAAGATGTTGTCTGACAGCAACCCAGTCGTGAGCACCAGCTGCTTAGCCTGGTCATAACAGGAGAGCTGCAGAGACACAGCGTATTAGTGACGTGTCCCCCCTCGTCGCCACGCCAGGGATGACCCTTGTCCCCACCCCGGGCACCTACTGCCCAGCGAAGCTGTCCTACCTGTCCAACAGTGACAAGGGCCCCTCGGCTGGATGCCATTGTAGCTCCCGAGAAGAGTTTCTTCAAGCCCTCTGTGGGCAGACAGACTGGGATCAGCACAGTCCTGGGACATCACCCACACTCCCTTCCCCCCGGAGCCTCCTTCCCTGCCCGGTCCCTGTCCCAGACTCCTCCTGCAGCAGTGCTTAAGGCGCACAACAGCAAACACGCTGCAGGGAAGGAGAATCCTTCGAAACAGCCCTACCTCCTCCCCGCTGCCGTTCGTGCCCCTT